GACTGTGGATAGTTCAAATAATCATATTATTCTGGAAGTCAAAACATGCAAAAGTGAAACACAAAATAACTAATTGACAAAAGACAGTAAACTTTACTTATAAATAAAACTCTTATTACTTAATCATCAAATGTGAATTACATTTACTTATTACATGTTTCAAATTGTCTATCTAATCACTAAAACTAATATCGTCCCTCAGGCCAATGCTCCTAACATGCTGAAAATACTGAACCCTACTCAGTCCCTTCGTAAGGGGATATGCTGGGTTATCCTCTGACGATACCCTATTCACTACGAGGAGTCCCTATTCTACTCGATGTCTTATTATGTGGTATTTTCTGTCGATGTGCATGGATGTGCCATGATCCCTTGGTTCCTTGGTTAAGGCGACCGCACCCTCGTTGTCACAGAAAATCTCCATAGGCTCCTTTACAGCCGGTACAACTCCAAGGTCTCCAATGAAGTTCTTTAGCCATATTGCCTCCTTCGACGCTTCGCTTCCTGTTATGTACTCTGATTCGCACGTTGAATCAGCTACAATCTCCTTTTTGGAACTTTGTATGTTGCTTCTCCTCCGTTGAGGGTAAATACCCAGCCCGAATGAGAGCGGAAACTATCTCTATCGGTCTGGAAGCTGGCGTCACTATACCTTGTTACTCTCAAGTCATTACTCCCACTGAGTGTAAGGACCCAGTCCTTAGTCCCCTGTAGGTACTTACGAATGTTCTTTACTGCTATCCAGTGAGTTCTACCATGATTCCCTTGATATCGACTAACTATGCTCAAAGAAAAAGCCAAATCAGGGCGAGTACATTGCATAACATACATGATCAAGCCAACGGTGGAAGGATATGGTGCTCGACTCATTTCTGCTATTTCGGTATCGGTACTCGGACTCTGAGTCTTACTCAGTTTTGTATTGCTCTGGATAAGCAATTCTCCTTTCTTGGAATTCTCCATGTTGAAATGTTTGAACACCTGGTCCAAGTAGGTACTTTGACTAAGCCCTATTAGTCTTTTACTCTTATTTCTCAATATCCTTATCCCTAGAATGTAAGCAACTTCGCCGAGGTCCTTCATAGCGAAACACTTCCCAAGCCAGGGCTTAACTTCCTGAAAGGTTGGAACGTCGTTTCCTATGAGTAGTATGTCATCCACATACAATACCAGAAAGCTAACTATACTCCCACTAGCCTTGACATATACGCATGACTTATCCTCGCTTCTCAAAAAACCAAACTCTTTGACTTTCTCATCGAAACAGAGATTCCATCTGCGAGATCCTTGCTTTAATCCATAAATGAATTTCTCAAGCTTACACACTCTATCAGGGTACTTTACATCCACAAAACGCTCTGGCTGACCCATGTAAACATCTTCAACCAGTTTCCCATTAAGGAAAGTGGTTTTGACATCCATCTGCCATATTTCATAATCATGAAACGCAGCTATGGCTAGCATAACCCTTATAGATTTGATCTTCGTTACTGGTGAGAAGGTCTCGTCATAGTCAACTCCAGGATTTTGAGTAAAGCCCTTCGCAACCAATTGTGTCTTATATGTGTGTACTTTCCCGTCTTACGACCTGGTACATTGTCAACCAAGTTCCAAACATGATTGTCATACATAGACTGAATCTCGCTGTCCATTGCCTCTTTCCACTTCGTAGACTCTTGGCCTGCCATGGCTTCCTTGTAGTTGTTAGGTTCATCCAAATTTACTAGTGTGTTATCACTGATAAACGTATCACCTTCACTTGTTATATGAAAACCATATAACACAGGTGGAACACTAACTTTACCGGAACGTCTGAGAGGTAAGGACTGGTCAACTGGTTCAATAGGAGTCTCATCCTCAGGTTGATTGCTAGTGTTAGAAGTTCCTTCATCGCTTAACTCTTGAAGCTCTTCAAGGTCAATTTTCCTCCCACTATCCTCTTGGAATATGAGTTCTCTTTCACGAAAGACACCCCTTTGTGCTACGAAGACCACATTCTCACTAGGTCTATAGAACAAATATCCAAAGGATTTTTGTGGGTAGCCAATGAAAATACAACGCTCACTACGAGGTTCGAGCTTGTCGTGAGTCTCTCGTCTTACGAAAGCCTCGCAACCCCAAACCTTGATATGTTCTAACGAGGGAATTTTCCATGTCCACATTTTGTGACGTGTTTTGGCAACCTTCTTAGTTGGGACTAGACTAAGGATATGGGCCGCTGTCTCTAAGGCATACCCCAGAATGAGATAGGTAACAAAGCTCGACTCATCATAGAACGAACCATGTGTAACAAGGTTCGATTGCGCCCCTCAGCCACACCATTCAGCTGCGGTGTCCTAGGTGGCATCAAATGTGAAACAATTCCACATTCCTTAAGATAGTCGTGGAACTCAATACTAAGATACTCACCACCTCGATCGGATCGGAGCATCTTTATTTTTCTGCCCAATTGATTTTCCACTTCTTGCTTAAACTCTTTGAACTTTTCAAAGGTTTCTGACTTTTTCCTTATTAAGTAGATATATCCATATCTGCTATAATCGCCAGTAAAGGTTACATATAAGCGGTTAGCATCCCTTATGGCGGATCTGAAGGGCCCACACACATCAGTGTGTATGAGATCCAACAAACCCTCACATCTTTCAAAAGTACAAGTGAAATGTGACTTGGTCATCTTTCCAAGCAAACAAGATTCGCATGTGTCATCCGACTTTAAGTAAGCAAGGCTCTTTTCGTTATAGCTTAGTTAAAAAGATAATTTTTATTGTAAACCTTTGATTAACCCTGGGATGTAAACTGTTTTATATTTTTATAGAATTCTACATTTGTAAGAAAAACTCTGATAATTCTCTTAGATATTTTTATAGAATTCTACACATCACAAGGTTCTTTAGGTAAGCAAGGCTCTTTGCCAATTTCAATATCTATGAAACTCCTAGATCTATTGAGATTCATTGACTATCAATGGCATGTTAATCTCATATCGTGCTCAATTCATTTCTATGACAGGGATGTCGTGGATCATGAAGCAAATGGTGAATCAACCATGCAAAAACCGTGTGATGCTTGGTTCAAGTTACGCTTGAGATTCACGAGTCTCACATCATTTCCAACCATAATCTTCAAATTGATGGGTCGGCTAACCGCACACGCTCCATAAACGAATTATAAATAAATGTGTGTTTTTTATGGGTAACACATGATTCATGTTTTTAATTATATAAAATAGGAATTTGGTTTTATTACTTTAGTTAATAATTTTAACGTTGAACATGTATCCTATAAAAGCCTTTCGGTAACTCCACTCCCAAAATGCAAAGAGACGGTAGGGGTGGTAAGTTATGAGCTTTTAAAAACCGACCTTATTAGGAATCTAAGAGATATCCTTGAACCTCTGTTATTGCATTAGAACGGTTGAGACTAGTCATTGTTCGACTGATAATGTATTAATTAAGCATGTGAGGGCACATGTTGTAATTATGTCATACTATAGTAATCATACTATATAAAAAACTTAAATCTTTTAAATTTATGTCTTATTAGATATTTAAAATTAACTCTATATTAAATAATATTTAAAACTTCAAAATAAATATTTAGATTTAAATTTAATTTAAATAATATTTAAAATTTAAAGACTTATCGATTTAAATTTATCTTAAATATTCAAATTTAAATAACTACTAAATAATACTTAAAATTCGATTTAATCTTAATATTCAGATTTTAATCCTTTTAAAATAATATTTGAAATTAAGTGTTTATCCAAATCGAAGAACCTAGCAGAAAACACGACTGCACGCCTCTCGTCGAACAAGACGTGCCGCATCTAATGATGGTTTTATCATCCCCAATTAGATGATGCTATTCATTCTTTATACAATTTCAATATCAAAATGTTCAACAATATTGTCCCATGGTTATGTCATATTATACATGATAAATAACTTCATGACCTTTCCACCAAACCAATCTCATCCTCATCCTGGACTTCAAAGCCGACCCCCCCCCCCCCCCCCCCCCCGATGTCCCACAAACCAAAACCCTCGACGATTCGATTGACGAGTTCGTACCTAAAACTCAACCCCCTCACTCGAAGGCATCTGCGAGAACCAAGCACCTCTACATGACAAAGGAAAAGAAGCACCGACCACTAAAATGAAGGCAACCCCTCAAGGGTGGATTTTGAGGGAAGAGTTGGTGTTGAAAAAAGCATAGGTCTAACATATCTGAGGACACAAAGGAAGGAAATGCACAATCGATTAAGCATTTTTTTTCTACATATTACTAAACGATTTCTCAAATAAATGGCGTGTGGTGACTATAGTAATAAACAAAAACAGAATAAAAAGTTTCGAGATATCAACAAGAATGTTACAAAAAAAGAATGAGTTATACACCAACCTAAAAAGCCAACGGAAAAGTGGACAGAGCGACGAAGAAATTTTCCAATTGACGTATCAATTGTTTCGTAAGAGAAACAATGGAAGGTCATTCAAATATAATGACCCTTGGAAAGTTTTAGGAAATAGTTTGAAATTGAAAGTTATGCAAAAGAAAGCGGCTAAAGTCGCTACAAGAAAAAAAAACAAACAAAAACGACTAGTTACACAACTTCTTCCGATGTTCGTGTCAGATTAGACTTAAATGAAGAAGACGAGCTCAAGTTAGAAGAAATTATCCGCCTGCACATGGGTAAGGACAAAGCGAAAATGATGACTTATTGTTCAAATGCATTGAGATTCAGCGAAGTAAAGGAAATGCTTAAAATGACAGTAAGCTTCAGACAATATAACTTGAATTTCATCGCACATTTAACAATTGAAAAAAAGTGGCCAAAAAAGAAAAGGCGCACGAGGAAAAACAAAATGACGCAAATAGCACGTAAAATGTGACGGAGCCACCCTCCAATTCCTTCCTATATGTTCTAGATCATCAATTATTGGTTTCATATGTACAAGTGTCATATACACCACCACATGTTGTTGTTATGATGATATATTATAATTTACATGTTGACTTCCCTTTACCGGTTGACCTATACATAACATATATCTGAAAAAACATGCAATATTAGTTGCAACAACCAGTATCCAGTGGAGGGAAAGTTGGGTTCAGAGCTTCCTCGGATTGACAGGTGAGATTTTTATTCTGGGTGCATTTATTTTTTTTTTCTTTTGAACGGCTTTTATTATGTGTGCATATATGATTAAAGTTAAGCCTTCCTTATGTTATTTCAGTTTTTGTTTATTATCGATATGATAGTGTAACAAGCATTTTTTGTATTATTGACCAATAATGATTTCTTAATCTATCAAATGAATGTACATATACGTCAACTGAATATATTATATTTCTTTCTAAGATTTGTGCCTATTTCAGTTTTGTTATATACATCCTATCATACTCACTGTAATGTTTATGGTAAAATGTCATGTAACAATGTTTGTATACCTTATAGCATATGTAATGAAATCAAAGAGTTAGATAATGAGTTTGTGATTTAGAAGGTGTTTGAGATTGTTTTTCAAATGACTAAAAAAGTGATTTGACAATTAAAAGTCAAAAAATTCAAAAAGTTATTTTTTTTTGCCAAGAAGAAAATGATGGTTTTTCAAAAGTAAATAAATATTATCTTTTTGTAACTTTTAGACATTTAAAAGGAAAATTACATTTAAAAGTCAAGAAATACTAAAGTAATAACTTTTTAAAAACAATTTTGGTTTTTCTCTCCTCAAAAATTAAAGTCAAAAACAATTTTTACAAAAATGACTTTTGAGGTTAAAAAATAATCCCAAACACATCTTAATGTTCAAAATTTAAATTATTTTGACTTTTTGACCATATCGTTTGACTGTCCAGATTTTTTTCATCCATTTATTCTTTATTTTCCAACCTTTTAATCCATTTTAATTTACTCGTCTATCTATTTGTTAACTACAAGTTTTATTCATAAACGTACTACGGAAAAAAATAAAATTGTTTTACTTTAATTGCATATAAATAATATAAAGAATATACAAAACTGTTTTATTTAACATATTTTATTTTGTAGATTTGAACTTAATCAATCCTTACTTTTATTATAATATTATATAGAAAATGGTTTATGATTTATAAAATAAATAAATAAATAAATCTTCATCACCATTTCATAACTACTTAATAATTATAGTAATATACTTATGTAAAATACTTAATAATTATAGTAATAATTATAAAATAAATAAATAAATAAATAAATAAATAAATCATCATTGTATAATATACTTAGTAATTATTGATAAAAAGTAATTTTTATGTAATTATTATAGTTGTTTAATGAAAAAAATGTAATCATTAGAGGGTTCAAATACAAATTTAAAAGGGATCAAAGTAGATGAATATACTACTTGGTTGGTAATTAAAAGTATAGGCTTAAGTTCCAATGAATCGAAGGGGGCAGTTTCTAAGTACAAGAATTGTTTTAAAGGAGCTGGAGTTTAAGATTGCTTGGTTGGTAATTTCAAGGGTGCAAAAAGCATATTGAAGATCGCCAAATATGTCTGATGTCTCAGTTAAAAGTTTTTCGTTATTCTTGGTTGGCTCATCATAGTATATTGTTACAATTTGCAGTTATTTTGAGTTGTAGGAGAAATTTATCGGAGGATATTTAATTTCTCAAGGGTATATAAATTATTTACTCACCGGTATCTGTTTTATTTATTTATTTATTTACATTATCCTATAGATTTTTCACCTTGTATTTTTATGGTTAATATTTTACTAATAAACTTCTTTATTGAAATTAGATGATATATTTTATTATAAGTTATTCATAAACATACTATTGTAATAAAAGTAACTTGTTTTTCTTCACATTTCAAAAAAAAATTAAAGTTTTTCTTGGAGAAGCACTCTAAAATTTTTAATCTAACTTTTTGTTTTAATGTATATCACCACGTATGACTCAATAATGTGCTTTAAAGTCATTTGTTTATATATTTATTCAAAAAAATGATAATGTACTGCCAAACACATTCAAATTATATACTTTTTAAGACACTTTCTTACGATTGATTATTAACTATCAAAATCAAATACACACCCAGAATCATTAATCCATTAACCTTTATAATATGAATGTACGTAATAACTTGAACAACCAAATAAATCATATGTGACATAATAGTGATTCTATATGTGCATGCATGCCTCCTTTGACAAAAATATAAGTTCATGGATACTAGAAGCTCTTGCTCTTAATTTAATTGATTTCACTTTTAATTGGCAGATCTTGTGTTACTTTATAATGGAAAAAGAACAATACCTAAAGATGCCACTCAAGAGGATAATACTAGCTGTAATTTTGTATGTTCCGTTTTGTATGGCTTCTCTCGGAGTTTCTCAGGTTGGATTATGGGGAACTAAATCTAATGAAGGTCCCCAAAATCGTTGGGCTTTCTTAATTGAAAAAGATCATAAACTGAAGTACATAACTATTGATCATGGTGATCTAATATACTCTCTTGAGTTTACTACTGAATCAAAGGGTGTTCAGTACACTTCACACAAGGCTGGTGGTTGGAATGGTGGCGATAGAGTATCTAAGGTAAACTTCTACCTTCTACACAACCCGACACATACAAAGATAATTGTTTTCTCCTGTGTTTATATTATTGAACTTGGTAATAGTTAAACTTATCCATTTGCTTGGCCAGGTTGTTTTTGAAGATGACGAGGAAATAACAGGCATTGATGGAACAGTTGGGGTATCGACTGGGGAATATGCTGGTTACACAATAATTTCGTCACTGTCTTTTGTTACGAACAAGAAGACTCATGGACCTTTTGGTCAAAAAACACATACTCTTTTCACTGTACCATGGGTAAAAGGGAGTTTTGGTGGATTTTATGGCCTTGCAGGCTACTATATTGATGCAATCGGTGTCTACATCACGGCTTCATCTGACAAAATTGCACGGGTTGGGATTTGGGGAACAAAATCTCCTGGAGGTCCCCAAAACAAGTGGTCTTTTCAACTTGAGAGAAATCATCATCTAAAGAAGATAACCATTGATCATGGTGATCTCATATACTCCCTCATGTTCACTACCAAATTTAAGGGCGTAGAGAAAACTTCTAACAAGGCTGGTGGCTGGAACGGTGGAGACAGAGTCTCTGAGGTGCAAACTTGACTCAATGAATCTATAATCACTTTTATTATATTAGTTACTATTTATTTTTCCATTTCGCTTTAGGTTACATTTGCTCCCGACGAGGAAATTATTGCTATCAGTGGAACGATTGGCATCTCAAGGGGAACTTATGCTGGCTATACGATAATATCGTCACTCACATTCATCACAAACAAACAAACCCATGGACCTTATGGTAATGTTAGAGGGATACCTTTCAACGTACCATGGGAGAAAGAATCATTTGCTGGATTTTATGGTCTTGCGGGCTATTATATTGATGGCATCGGTGTATACCTAAAGCCTACTATCAATAACTAACCCTCTTAAGCTAAGGGTATGGCGGAATAAAAAGCTTTGCGTGCTATCACATGTGGGGATCCTTACACTTACACATTATCCCTGTCATGCACAAGTTGATTTAGTTGTTGGTGTAACTTGTGATATCTACAATGTACTTCACTACTTGCACCATATTATTAATTTTCATGATTACATCGTTCTATTTTAAACCATTTTTTCTATTAGATTTGTTGTAACATCTTGATATTCAGGATTTCCATTTATGCCCTTGGTAGATAAATTTTATTGCAAATTGGTCCCTTGTAGTATTTTAGAGGAAACGTGTTTCATCACGTACGCTGGGCGTACTTCTCGTACGTTGGGTGTACGTGGCTTGGACCAAACCCTAATCCATTTTGAGAGCATTCTTGAGCCATTAGTGTGTGTTTTCGTGTTCTTAGAGGAAGAAGAAGGAAAGGTAATCATCTTGGAAGCTTGAAGAATAATGGATCCAAAGACACATCATCATTTTGCACAACTTGGAGGTAAAAGCTCTAATCTTGATGAAGTTTTGCTTAGATCTTGATTAGCCATGGATTGTGTTCATGTTGGTCCCATAAGCTTGATGTATTTGAGTATGGGTTACTCTAACTCATTTGAGTTGTCCGTTCAGACGTTTTGGAGTTTTTAGAATCCTAAAAATGTAATCTTGGTCCTTAGTTTTCCTCCATGTATGGACTAGGATGTCTTAATGAGTTAAGTGATGGGTTTTGAGCATTCTAACACTCCTAAGTGTACATGCAACCCTAGAAAACCTTGGATCTATGTTTGTCTAAAAATACATGCAAAATACTTTTTCCAAGGTTCATAATCCTATCTAGCATACATGGGGAACTTTAATCATAAAAGATAGCTAGAATTACATACCTTGTTGTTGATTTGATTCCTTGCAAACCTTGAGAGCCTAGCATCCCAAGTGTGATGCCTCAAATGTTTCACACAACACCAGATGCTCTTGGAATGACTTTGAGAGAATTGTCTAACACTTGAAATCGGCCTAGCCCTCTTGTCTCACTAGTGTAGCCGATTTTGGTTGCTAGCATGTTCTTTATATAGTGTGTTGCATTAGGGTTACACCATGTAAACCCTAATGTAACATGGCTCTTCATTTCCATGACCCATGGGTTTGTAACTCCCATGGAGCATCCATGGAGCATCCTATGGACCTTAGCCCAATTAGATAATCCATGGAGCATCTAGCCCACTATACAAGTATGGATGATTTACACAATCAACCCATATATTTAATTAGTCTCCTTTTGATCACTTACTTAATTCTAGATTAATTCTTGATCAAAACTAATTAAATAATATTATTAATATATTAGAACTTATAATATATTAATAAACCACAAGTGTTATTCCTCTCATTTAGTCTATCCAATTGCATGATGCCATGCAACCCAAATGGACCATGCCAGGTCGGGTCAAGTACATACCAGAAATAGTTATGGACTTAGACACCTTATCCAACAGTCTCCCACTTGGATAAGTCTAATAACTATAACTGCAAGTATGACTTCAGGAACCGATCAACAATCGTAGCTCTGTTCAAGGTCTCTCGGAACTGAGAAGATGATGATACGCCATTTCAGATAAGTGATCATATAATCCTCTGTTCTAGATATCAGCCGGACAAATACATGGAACAATGTCTTACTTTTTTCTAGCAGTTTGTTTCCCGATTTCTGATTTGTTTGATGTAGAACTTAATTGAACACATCAACTTAGTTCTAACCGGGCCCGGTACATAGGTCAAAACAAAATCATCGAGGGGCCCAGATATCGCTTCTAATCCAAGAAGGAACATATAAACTTCGACTCATATGCTTGTTCTACTACTTGCTAAATCACACACAAACGCACTTTTTATAACATCGAGTTACCAATGCGTTTTCGCACGATCAATGCATAACCAACTCATAGACAACAAGACATATCTCTAGGTTTGAAGACTTATATGATATTACCGTCTCGCGATCACTCGAGATAAATTCCATGAAGTGATACCAGCGAGCGTGGGTTGAATCCAATACTCAGAACTTATGAGCACTCATGAGTGTTGAGGCCATGTCTAACATCTTAGACCTCTACAACCAACTCATGACAGTCTTAATTCATATCTACTTCCAACATATGACCGACTGTGGATAATTTGAATAATATGTAAAACACAACATAAATATTCTGAAAGTCAAAACATGCAAATGAAATAATAGTAAACGATTGACAAAAGATAGCAACACTTTACTTATAAATAAAACACACCTTTTATTCATCATCAAATGTCAATTTACATTTTACAAATTTCGAAAATTATCTAACTACTAAAACTAATATCATCCTTCAGCCCTATGCTCCTTGCGTGTTGGAGATGCTTAACCCTACCCAGTCCCTTCGTGAGGGGATCTGTCGGGTTCTCATCCGATGATACCCTCTTTGCCACGAGGAGTCCTTCTTCTATACGATGTCTGATGAAATGGTATTTTCTGTCAATGTGTATGGATTTCCTGTGATCCCTTGGTTCCTTTTCTAAGGCAACTGCGCTTTCACTATCACAGAAAATATCTATAGGCTCCTTTATAGCTGGTACAACTCCAAGGTCTCCAATGAAGTTCTTTAGCCATATAGCCTCCTTTGCTGCCTCGCTTGCCGCTATATACTCTGATTCGCAAGTTGAATCAGCTACTGTCTCCTGCTTGGAACTTTTCCAAGAGATTGCTCCTCCGTTTAAGGTATAGACCCAGCCCGACTGAGAGCGGAAATTATCCCTATCAGTCTGGAAGCTATCATCACTATACCCTACAACTCTCAAGTCATCACTCCGACCAAGGGTAAGGACCCAATCTTTAGTCCTCCGCAGGTACTTGAGAATGTTCTTTACCGCAGTCCAGTGAGCCTTACCAGGGTTCCCCTGATACCTGCTAACCATGCTTAAAGCAAAGGCTACATCAGGACGAGTGCAGGCCATAGCATACATGATCGAGCCTACTGCAGAAGCATAAGGTACTCGACTCATTTCTGCTATCTCAACCTCGGTACTCGGGCTCTGAGTCTTACTTAATCTAGCATTACTCTGGAGGGGTAACTCTCCTTTCTTGGAATCTTGCATGCTGAACCTTTCCAGCACCTTCTCCAAGTATGTACTCTGACTAAGTACAGTTAGTCTTTTACTCTGGTCTCTCAGAATCCTTATCCCTAGGATATAGGCAGCTTCTCCAAGGTCCTTCATAGAAAAACACTTCCCAAGTCAGGACTTCACTTCCTGCAAGGTTAGGATGTCATTTCCTATGAGTAGTATGTCATCCACATACAGTACCAAAAAACTAACTATACTCCTACTAGCCTTGACATATACACAAGATTCATCTTCACTCCTAGAAAAGACAAACTCTTTGACATTCTCATCGAAACAAAGATTCCATCTGCGAGGTGCTTGCTTTAATCCATAAATGGATTTCTCAAGCTTACACACTTTATTAGGGTACTCTGTGCTGACAAAACCCTTTGGCTGATTCATGTAAACATCCTCAGCCAACTTTCCATTGAGGAAAGTGGTTTTGACATCCATTTGCCATATTTCATATTCATGAATTGCAACAATGGCTAACAATACCCTAATAGAATTAATCTTGGCTACTAGTGAAAAGGTCTCATCATAATCAACTCCTGAAGTTTGAGAAAAGCCCTTTGCAACCAGTCGTGCCTTATAAGTGTGTACATTACCATCCATGTCGGTCTTGTTCTTGAAGATCCATTTGCACCCAACTGTCTTGCGACCTGGTACATTGTCAACCAAGTCCCAGACCTGATTGTCATACATGGATTGTATCTTGTTGTCCATTGCCTCTTTCCATTTAGCAGCCTCAGGGCCTGCCATGGCTTCCGCATAGCTGTTAGGTTCATCCAGACTTACCAGTGTCTCATCACTGATAAGTGTCTCACCTTCCGTAGTAATATGGAAACCATAGTAGTGCTCAGTTGCATTCCTAACCCCTGTGGAACGCCTCAGAGGTACAGACTTGTCAATTTGAACAATAGAAGTTTCCTCCTCAAGTTGACTTCTAGGGTTTGAGGTTCCTTCACCACTTGATTCTCTACTTCCTGTTTAAACTCTTTAAACCTATCGAAAGTCTCTGACTTATGCTTGATTAAGTAGACATATCCATATCTACTATAATCATCTGAAAAAGTCACATAATAACGATTAGCATCCCTTGTGGCAGTTTTGAAGGGTCCACACACATCTGTGTGCACTAGATCCAACAAACCTTCACCCCTAGCACACGAACCTGTGAAGGGTGACTTTGTCATTTTTCCAAGTAAGCATGATCACAACGATCATCTAACTTTAGGTCAAATGACTCCAAGACTCCATCCTTTTGGAGTTGGCCTATGCGTTTCTTGCTTACATGTCCAAGACGACAATGCCATAATGATGCTTTATCCAAGTTATTATCATTAGTAGAATCAATACACAACACATTATTTCCTAAATTATCCACAACAGACACAACTTCATACACACCATCACAAGGTAATGCTTTAAAATAAAACACATTTTTAAAGAAAGCACTTATTCCACCAACTTCATTATCAAAAGAAAAGGTAAAACCTTGTTTGTATAAAGCATGAAAGGAAATAACATTTCTTGCCATTTCAGGCGAATAACAACATTTATTCAAATCTAAAGTAAACCCACTACTTAGCAACAAAGTATAAACTCCAATCTTGGTGACAGGTGAAACTTTCCTATTCCCCATGATCAAGTTTATCTTTCAATGCTCCACATTCTCACTTCTTCTTAGTCCCTGCAAATCAGAACAAATATGAATACCACAGCCGGTATCAAGGACCCAAGAGTTAGAATAGGGTGAGTTATTAGAAAATATAGTGTAAATACCTGCAGGGTTGGGTTTCACTTTCCCATCCTTCAAATCTTGCTGGTACTTCGGGCAGTTCCGCTTCCAGTGTGCCTTTTCATGGCAATAGAAGCATTCAGCCTCTTTTGGGTCAGCAGAAGGAGTGACGAAACCTTTCTTGGTTCTGCTTGAAGAGGAGCCATCAAGGGTCTTACCCTTGGTACCCTTCGAAGGGTTCTTCCTCTTCTTCCCTCTACCTTTCCCAATTG